AAAAAAAAAAAAAATGTCCATACTACCCAATATGATCTATGGATTCTATGTAATCCCTATTTTTATAGAGATTCCAATGTCATCTTACAGAGAAATAGAAAAAATTGCCCAGGCATGGTGGCTCACACCTGTAATCCCAGCACTTTGGGAAGCTAAGGCAGGCAGATCACTTGAGCTCAGAAATTTGAGACCAGCCTGGGCAACTTGGCAAAATCCTGTCGCTCCAAAAAAAAAAAGAAAAAAGAAAAAGCTGAGTGTGTTGACACATGCTTGTAGTCCCAGCTCCAGGGAGGATGCTTTGAGCCTGAGAACCAGAAGTTGCAGTGTGCTGTGATTGCACCATTGCACTCTAGCCAGGGCAACAGAGCGACACCCCTTCTCACAAATAAACGCCACACAAACAACAAAGCATAAAGCTGGAGGTACCACATTACCTGACTTCAAAATATATTAAAAAGTTTCAGAGGGGCATGGTGGCTCCACCTGTAATCCCAGCACTTTGGGAGTTCAAGGCGGGCGGATCACGAGGTTAAGAGTTGGAGACCAGCCTGAACAATATGATGAAACTCCGTCTCTACTAAAAATACAAAAATTAGCCGAGTGTGGGGGCGCGTGCCTGTAATCTCAGCTACTCAGGAGGCTGAGGCAGGAAAATCCCTTGAACCGGGGAGGGGGAGGTTGCGGTGAGCTGAGATCGCGCCATTGCACCCCAGCCTGGGCAACAAGAGCGAAACTCCGTCACAAAACAAAACAAAAACAAAACCTTTGCCAATTTGGTAGAATTGCGGGGCTTATTTTATGGTGTCATGGAGGATGGATAGCCTGGGGCTAGATATTTCTGGGGCCCTGTGTTTGCTCTACGAGCTAGGAGCTCCCTCTCCGGGCCTTGTAAAGGGTGAGACTAAGCAGTGACAATAAAAGCGCTCGACAGTGCTGGACCTTGTGGAGGTGCTTATTAAGCAGGAGGTCCTTGCACAGGCGCAGAGGAGGGGACGCCCCCAGACCTGCAGGGCCCCTGGGAGGTGGGGGCGGAGCCAGATCTGACGGTGGCCAATCGCGAGCTGAGGTGAGGGTGCCACGCCCCTCAAGCCGCATATTAAATACGCAGAGAAAGGGCGCCGGGGACACCCGTCTGGGACCCGCTACTCTTCTCTGGGTTCTGAGTCCCCAGCTCTTGGGAGCTTTTGTGAGTGGAAGGGAAGTCACTCTATCGCCCGCGGTCCTAGCAGCCCGGTCCCGGCAGTGGGTCCCCCGGCGCGGCTCCTTTAAGAGCTCTTGAGTCGCCCACCGGAGGTCGCCTCTACGCCATGCGGGCGCTGCGGGCCGGCCTGACCCTGGCGCTGGGCGCGGGCTGGGCGAGGCCACAGAGGGCTGGCTGGGGCGGCGGGAGGACGCGCAGGCGGCGCCGGGGCTGCTGGGTCGGTTGCCCGTGCTGCCCGTAGCGGCGGCCGCTGACTTGCCCGCTGTGCCGGGGGGACCCGCGGGCCGCGGCCCGCGCGAGCTGGCCAAGGACAGGCTGCCACGGCCGGCACAGCTCGAGAGCCGCGAGTCGTACCTGCTGTGCTAGGACCCGCACACCCGCGCGCGCTCTGGGTGGTGGAGCAGCTGCGGCCCGAACGGCTCCGCGGCGACGGCGACCGCCGCGCGTGCGACTTCCGCGAGGACGACTCGGTGCGCGCCTACCACCGCGCCACCAACGCCGACTACCGCGGCAGCGGCTTCGACCGCGGCCACCTGGCCGCCGCCGCCAACCACCGCTGGAGCCAGAAGGCCATGGACGACACGTTCTTCCTGAGCAACGTCGCGCCCCAGGTAGCGCCCCCGCCCTGGGCCGGTCGCGGAATGCGGGGCCTCGGCTTGTTCCTCTGCAGACGGGGCAGCTGCCCAAGTGCCCTCGGTGGGGGCTTGCAGTCGCACTCCGTGGCGGGAGGGAGCAGCCCTGGGCTCCCGGCAGCGGCTCTGCAGGCGGACCAGGGCTTGAGCTCCAACTGCGAACCCTGGGCACCCTGGAGCGTCGCTTTCCTCGTCTGAAAAATGGGGACAGTACCGTTCTTCACCTTCCTCCCGCGGTAGTGATGCGGCGCTGAGGCTCACAGAGGCAAAGTGACGGGCAGTGTCACACAGCAGAAGGCAGGCAGTCTGGGTAGAACCGCAGCCCCCAACCTTTTTGGCCCCAGGGTCCGGTTTCATGGAAGACAGTTTTTCCACGGCTTGGTGGGTCAGGGCAGGTTTCAGGATGATTCAAGTGCATTACATTTATCGTGCACTTTATTTCTGTTATGATTACACTGTAATATAGAGTGAAATATACAACTCACAGTAATGTAGGATCAGTCCTGTCTGGAGGTGATGGGCGACAATGACAGATCAGGCATTAGATTTTCAAAAGGAGCGCACAACCTCCTCGCATGCGCAATTCACCATAGGGTTCCGGCTTCTTTGAGAATCTCCTGCGGCCACTGATCTGACAGGAGGCGGAGCTCAGGCTGCCATGCCAACGATGGGGCGTGGCTGTAAATACAGGTGAAGCTTCCGGTGCTCGTCTGCTCCTCACCTGTGTGGCCCAGTTCTGGTACCAGTCTGTGGCCCAGGTGTTGGGGACCCCTTGTCTATAAAACCGTGGGCCTCCAGACATCGTCCTACACTGCCTGTCTTGGATAAGTTTCGAGGCAGACACCTGGCCCACCGTCAGGCCGTTAGTGCCAGGCACTGTGCACCTTGGGTCAGCCACCCTCTTGGCCTGTTCCCAGCAGGGCTTGGCACCAGAGGATGGAGGCTGCCGTGGGGCTCTGGGTGGAGCCCATAGGGCAGCAGCCTCGACCCAGCCTCCTTCCAGAGCACAGCCCCCTACCCCCTTTCCATTGTCCAAGGCCTGGAGAGCTCAAGATGGAGGCAGATTTCTAACATTCCCAGCTAGGCTCTTCTGTGGCTCAGACTGGGAAAAGGAAAGGGCTGGTGGTTGGGAGGGCTGGTCTTCCCATGAGCCCCCGGGTGGGGCTGAGGACAGGTCTCAGTCCTTCTCTCTGAAAGGTGGAGACATGCTCCTTCCTTCATTCAACTCTTGGGAGCTTTGACACCTGGGCTGTGGGAGGGACAGGTGGTGGCTAGTGCTCGTCAGCCCTGCCCAGCTCCATGTGGCTTCAGGGAGTGACTTTCATTCCTTGCCCCTCAGTTTCCTCATGCTTGCTCCCCACTGGGCATCTCTGGGCATGTCCACTCCCCCAGGGCCCGGGGCAGCCGTCTGATAGAGGAGGAAGGGCCCCAGCCACAGTCCTGCTGAGCCCCACCTCTCCTCCCAGGTGCCCCACCTCAACCAGAATGCCTGGAACAACCTGGAGAAGTACAGCCGCAGCTTGACCCGCAGCTACCAGAACGTCTATGTCTGCACAGGGCCACTCTTCCTGCCCAGGTAAGGTGGAAACCAGGGGGCTGGGGGGTGGCAGAACCTCCCACTCACTCAAGGCCCCTACTGTCACTCACAGGGCCAGGCTTGCCCAGGCTCTGGGTCAATACCTGTTCACTACTCATCTGGTGTCTTGGCAAGTCTGTCAGCTTCCCTGCCTTTGGTCCCCTCGTTCCACTTCCACAGCCAAAGACCTTTTGGGTACCCTCCTACCATCTCTCCTCTGCCCATGGGCAGCAGCAGGCCCTGAATCTGCCCCCGCTTCTCCCTGCTGTCACCTCTTGCCACACCAACCCAATCCTGTTCTGCTCATTTGGAACTCCTGCAGGTCCCTGGTGCACCAAGCTCTCCCACCTTCGGTCTCTGCTCTGCTTGGAGCACTTTCCTCCACCCTTCTCAGGAGTTTGAACTCAGATCTGCTCCAGGGCCTCCACCCTTGCCTCCCAGGTGGAAGCGACCCAGCACCTCTGGCCATGCTCCGTGGTTTCTCTGGACTGCGGAGGCCTGGGACTGGGAGGCAGTAGGTCAAGGCTGAGCAGCTCGCTCTGGAATCCACAGGCTCGGGATGGAATCCAGGCCTCGTCACCTAGTCCCTTGGTGCTGTGAGCAAATGACCTGTGTCCTCCTCTGCAAAACAGGGCCAAAACCTGTGACCTCTTGGTTGATGTCACATGCTTCCTCAGGGCCTGGCCCATGGTCAGGGCTTAGCATGGGCTGGCCAAGGCAGTAGTTGGGGCACTGATCAAATTTCATTAGCAGGTGCCTCCTGTGACCCGCAGCAAGGGAGAAGACTGCCCAGGGGAAGCCCTCGTCCGGTGTCACGGTCCTTGCCCACTTGGTGCTCACCTCCGTGGGGAGAGACGGACAGTCGTTAAGTGTCCCCCCAGATGAATGTGAATATTCAGAAGGCTCAATTCTTCTAGCAGCGTTTATTGTCCCCCACTCCGCCTGACCCAGTGTTGGGCATGAGGAAAACAGAGGGAAAGAGCCTCCACCCCGAAGAGAGTTCTAGCCTCAAGCAGGAGCCAGGCAGGGCAAAGAAGTCTCACAGTGAGAGGGTGGTCCGCCAGGTTGACAGAAGTTAGAGTACGCATCAGGGAAGGCTTCCTGGAAGAGGTGGCCTTGGGTTCAACCGGGCCTCCTGCCCATGTGTGCCTGGGTCTTCCCACAGGACAGAGGCTGATGGGAAATCCTATGTGAAGTACCAGGTCATTGGCAAGAACCATGTGGCAGTGCCCACACACTTCTTCAAGGTGCTGATCCTGGAGGCAGCAGGCGGGCAAATCGAGCTCCACTCCTATGTGATGCCCAACGCGCCTGTGGACGAGGCCATCCCCCTGGAGCGCTTCCTGGTGCCCGTTGAGAGCATCGAGCGGGCCTCGGGGCTGCTGTTTGTGCCAAACATCCTGGCGCGGGCAGGCAGCCTCAAGGCCATCACAGCAGGCAGCAAGTGAGGGCAGAGCCCAGCGAGACTGTGGGTGTGTACAGGCCAGGGAGCATTAAAGGTGGGGATTTTTGGAGCCAGTCTGTCTGTGTCTGTCCCAAGTGACCTGCAGAGCCTCTGTTTTCACTACTGCTTCACTGATGTCCTGGACCCCTTAGAACATTCAGGTGGGCCGGGCACCTGCCTGGGTGAGGCCAGGCTGCAGAGCAGCCAGGGAGATGAGGATGGCTTCCTGGAAGAGAAGTGTGGCAGTGGGCTGGGGCCTGGAGACCAGTGGGTGCCCCCGCTCCCAACTGTCTTCAGAGGCGGGCTGCCCAAGACGCAGCCCACTGGGGCCCACCGTCCTTAGCAGGGCCTGGTGAGGTTGACAGGCCCAGGTTCACACTGCACCTGGAGAGCCACACAGCCTGCTCCTCAGTCTCCGCTTCTGTAAAATGGAGGTAAAGGTAACAACGCCCACCTCCCAGGGCCAGGGGAGGTCAAGGAGATGGGCAGGAAGTTCTCAGCCCTCACACAGGTGAGGAAGGGTGGGAGCCAAGGTTCCTGCTGGGGCGTATGGCTGGCAGGCTCAGAGCGCTTGGACTGGGCAAGGCCTTAGGGATGAGTAGACAGGGCTGACCACGCTGCGAGACTGATGGGAGCACCAGCCTCCCCAGCAGAGTGCCCACAGCACAGCGTCCTATGCCTGACTCCAGAAGTGACCACACAGGCTGCATAAGGCCCAGGGGTGGGTAGAGCCGTTCCTGGGAAGGCTCCAGCTGCACGCAGCTTCCCCCCGTGGGACAGATGCAAGTGAGACCCCAAGGGGAGCGTTGCTGTGTCCACCATGGTCACACGCCAGGAAGGGGCAGAACCAGGACCCTGGAAGATCACCGAATGCACAGCTAAGGAAGCAGAGGCCAGAGTGGGGCGGGGGGGGCAGAGCCCCCTGGGTCACACATCCTGGGAGCCCAGGACGGGCACTAGCACCCAGGGTTGACTCCTAGCTGTACTCCGCCTGATGCAGTGTTGGGTAAAAGGTCATGTCCTGTCCCTGCCGCAAGACTGCTGTGGTCAGAGGCCGAGGGGGTGAGAGGACCACCTCCAGACAAGGCAGCCACGGGCAAGGGTGAGTGGAAGGGCAAGAGTGGCAACTCCTACTTGGAGCGATCCCGAGGCCCCAGCGGCTGGCAGTGGGGAGGCTGGTGGGCTTACCTCCGTGCGGATGGTGCGGCTACCTTGGCCAGGACATGTGTTGACATACAGGTCGAAGAGGACACTGGGTTCAGCCACCTCCAGGTTGGGGTCAGCATCCACTCCAGCTTCCAGCCCCTGGAGGCCCCCGAACACCACAAGAGCATGCCTGGCACGTGCAAGAGGGGGTGCTCATCAAGGCCCCACTGAGCACAGAGCCCCACCCAGTCCCTCCCCACCCCAGACAGCAGGGGCCCATCTGGGCAGCTTCACCCACCATGCAGGTTCCTGGCCACATTCTTCCTGGCCTGGCCCCGGCCCCAGGAGGTACCCACCTGAAGTTGGGAAGCTGGGCAGAGGCCACATCCGAGCCGCGCTCTGAAGTCCCGATCGTCAGGTCATACCCGTCCTGGAAGGGGGCCTCGGCAAACACAGCACCTGGGGATGGGGCCAGCTCGGTGCGGGTCCTGCTCCCCACAAGCCACAGCTTGGGGCATGTGTGTGTACTGAAGCAGGGGTGTGTGTTGGGGGGTATAGAGCTGTTCCTGGGAAGTCAAGGACTGAGCAGGACAGAGACCAGGCCTGTGCTTAGCTGGGAAACAGTGCAGACTGGATAGGAAGGTCTGTTCTAACCAGTCTCTGCCCTGTGCTCTTCCCTCATGCCCTGCCTGAAATACTCCCTCTGTAATCCTTAGTGGGTAGAGTTGCCGGGTGGGGGTGATGGCTGCAGAGTGGGATTGGGCACCAGAGGCCTAAACCCATACCTCAGCTGTCACCCAGGCTGGTGACGAGCACGAAGTGGGCCTCTGACATTTCTGGCCCTTTTGCCCCTCTTCCCAACTCCACAGAAACGTTATTAATCAATGATGATACTTTTGCTCAGTAGTCTTTTGCAGCGTTCCAGGCAGTGCATCCAGGGAGAACAAGGCTCAGAGCAGGAAAAGCACTTGCCCAGGGACACGTAGCACGTTGACAGGACAAGAACTTGGTCTGATATTTGGGTCAGGCAAGGCTCCCGGCCACCTCCCAGAGGGATGGATAGATATTCAGAGAAGGAAGCTCTGTCCTTACTGAGGCAGGAGGCCAGACGGACGGTGTAGCCCCAGTAGAGACCAGCTTTGGTGCGAGGGTCCTGCGATGACACCACCTTGCCACGGTAGGTCTTGCATTCTGGAGGGGTAACAGAGTCTGTAAGACGGGATGACGGGACAGGGGATGGAAGGAGGTGGCTTTGAGCCCTGGAGCTGGTCAGGCCAACCCAGGGGCTAGGGAACCTTCCAGATACCTGGCAGCTGCTGCTGGTTCAGTCGCACGGTCACCCGAAGCCCGGGCTCCAGGTTCCTATCGATCTTCACCTCCTGGGGAGAAGCCAGAAGAAATGAGTGCCATTCCCCTCAAGATCAGCAGGGGTCATGGCTCTTTCAGATGCTGCCAGGGGAGTCCTGGGGCTGGCAAGGGGTCCAGGGGTCCAGGTCAGCCTGGCACCCTCCACCCCTGGCACTGGGGGGACCTGCTCACAAGAAACAATTTATGCAAAACACAGACCATCGGCCAAACATGCACGTTTGGGGCACGCATGGCACAGCGTAGAAGTGGATGAAACCCAGTCTTCTACATTTTGGTAGCTCTGCCACTTTTTTTTTGAGACACAGTCTTGCTGTCACCTAGGGTGGAGTGCAGGGGCATGGTCTCGTCTCACTGCCCTGTCTGTCTCCTGGGTTCAAGTGAATCTCCTGCCTCAGCTTCCTGAGTAGCTAGGATTACAGGCATGCCACCACACCTGGCTAATTTTTGTACTTTTAGTAGAGATGGGGTTTCACCATGTTGGCCAGGCTGGTCTTGAACTTCTGACTTCAAGTGATCCGTCTGCCTCAGCCTCCCAAAGTGCTGAGATTACAGGGGTGAGCCACTGTGCCTGGCTTGTGCTTTCTGACAGGAGGGGGACCCCATACACATGCATGTTTTTGCCTCTGACTTGAGACTTGAGGGTAAAGAGGCGCCAGATGAATGTCCCTGTCGCAGCTTGACTCTGCGCCACACGGGAGCAGCTCCAGGGTGACTTTCAACTTGTTTCTTCAGGGTTTTGTTTGGACCATGAGGACTGTCTTCTGTTGATTTGCTTTTTAAGCAACAGTGAATTCATTCCTGAGTTTATCAATTGAGCCGCATTTTGCACAATCCTCTGGCCCAAATTTGCATGAGTGAGGGATTTTGGGCAGGTCCAGGGCTCCCCCAACACCCCCCTGCTTGCCCTCCATTGCCAGGCTGTGTCCTGGAGGTGTGTCCCAGCCCACCTTTTTGTTCCTACCTTTTTCATGCCACAGTTAACAAAGGAGCCGTGGCCTGGCCTGGTGGGCCGATCCACCACGACGCCCTCTCTGAACTCAGATTCCTCGTCCTGACGCATGTGGTGGGGACTGTCCAAGGGGTTCAGGAGCCCTGTGGAGGCAGGGCTGGGAGGAGTCTGGGAAGTGCTGGGCACACAGGGTGCAGTGGGGACCCTGGAGCAGAGGCTTAGCTCTGCCACAGACCTGCAGCTTGGCATCAGGCACAGGTCTTGCTCTCCTGGGCCTGCTTTCCCACCTGGATGGTGTAGGGTAGGACTGGGTGGTCTCTCAGTGTCTGTGGCACCATCCAGGGGAAATGGGGGGTGGGCCCACACAGCCTTACCTGCAAACTGTAGATCCTGGTGCTTGGGGAAGAACGCCTTCCTCAGGTACCTGGGAAAGAATGCTGACCTAAGGATGTTCCCAGGGGAAGCTGCCTCCTACCTGGCCTCCACTTTGACACAGCCCTCCCTCCTGCTCTGGGGGGACCCCCTTACTGCGGACACTCCAGGTACTGCAGGATCCGGGCCAACTGAACGCATGCCTGCCCCTTCTTGCCAACTCCTGTGAATTGCCCCTCCACAGTCCTGGAGAGAGAGATGGGGGCTCAGGATCCAGCTGTGGCCCCTTCAAGGGTTCCTCCCTACAAGTGCACGCCTGTAATCGCAGCTTCTCAGGAGGCTGAGTTGGGAGGATCACCTGAGCCCAGGAAGTAGGGGCTGCAGTGAGCCATGACTGCCACTGCACTCCAGCCTGGGTGACAGCTGAGGTGTGGGTTTAGGCCTCTGGCTCCCAATCCCACCTCTGCAGTCATCACCCTCACCCGACAACTCTACCCACTAAGGATACGGAGGGAGTATTTCAGGCAGGGCATGAGGGAAGAGCCAGGCATGTGGACAGGGGGCAGGGCGAAGCCTTGGCCCATCCCGGCAGCCCCTCCCTCTCCCCGAGCCCTGGCACCCTGTGGGATGGCCCCTCACTTGGCATCCTGGCCCTCCTCATCAAACACCACAATCTCATCCACACAGAAGATGGCGCAGGCTCTGGCAATCTGACCGGCCAGGTAGGTGCGAAGCTCCGGCGACTGGGCATTGTCCAGGATGGAGCCCGGCAGGGCTATGCTTAAGGTGTAGGGCCGCCCTGAAGGAAGGGGTGTTCCCAGTCAGCCTGAGAGGCAAGGGCCCCCTACCCTCCTCTCCCTTCCTTTGTCGCCAGTGCCCAAGGTTAGAGAATTTCCCAAATGGGAGGAATTTTGAGGTGAGCAAAATAGATCCATTTCCCCTCTCTGGGCCTCGGTCACCCAGGATGAAAATGATACAGCAACCTCCGAGGCTCCTTTGAGCAGGGCAGACCGCTGGGAGAGGCTGTGGAGTGGGCAGCAGCAATGGCCTAAGTTCATATCCTGTCCCCCTAACTACCTCAGTTCTCCAGCTGTCAAACGGGGATCAAATGTAAGCTGGTATCTAATAAGCCTTTTGTGTGTGCACATTAACCTGATGGCCATTAACCTCATCCCAGTGAGGACACTGCCATTATCCCCATTTACAGGTGAGGAACCTTCAGCCCCAGGAAGTCAAACATGTGGCCCAAGGTATCACAAAAGGTGGCTCACTCCTATAATCCCAGCACTTTGGGAGGCCGAGGCAGGCAGATCACCTGAGGTCAGCAGTTCAAGACCAGCCTAGCCAAAATGGCGAAATGTCATTTGTACTAAAAATACAAAAACTAGCAGAGCCTATAATCCCAGCTACTTGGGAGGCTGAGGCAAGAGAATCGCGTAAAGCTGGGAGGTAGAAGTTGCAGTAAGCTGAAATTGTGCCATTGCACTCCAGCCTGGGCAAGTGAGTGAGACTATGTCTCAAAAAAAAAAA